AGCAGCAGGTGGCCTCGACCCAGGACAAGTAGTGTCACTGCGTTCTGGCCCCGGGCATAAGGACGCGCCTCTCTCAGCCAGGAAAAGGCCACACTGGGCTGGAGGACACCTGCTTCCCACGAGATAGTGCGCAGCCGGGCCGTGGGCAAAAGCTGGCTGGGTCAGCAAACTGAGCCCCGCGACTCGGCCTCCCCCGCCTCCAGGAGCATGAGTGAGCAGCCAAGAAGGGGAGCTCACTCAGAAGCGCTCCAACTTCAGCGAGAATCAGGGCCAAATAAGGCCGGGCGAGCGGCCCCGCCCCGCACGCATTCTTCTGCCTTCTAAGGCCGGGCAGCCCGCTCGCCCCGCCCAGGCCCCACCCCGCCCGCCCGCCCGCCCGCCCGCTCCGCAGAACCCGAGCCCCAGCAAACAGTCGCCAGCTCCGAGCTCCGCACGCACCGCTAGCACCTTCTTCGCTCCAGGTGAGAGCTCGCAGGCATCCACACCTACGGGGTCTGGCTGGGACTGGAGCAGGGGCTGTCAGGGGCCCGCCGGAGGGGCACGGGCTCGGCTGGAGCCGTGAGTTCGCGTGGGTCTGACCCAGACAGTGAGACCGTTCTGGGCCCGGGGCAACAGTAGTTCTTTGTCCCTTGGCTAAGTAGCTACACCCCACAAACCAGGACTCTGGAGCTGTCCAAGCAAAGGCTGCCAAGGAGGGGGCTGGGATCCGATGCTCCCTGACCCAACCCTGCCAGGCTCCATGCGCCTTCAGAGCAGACGACTCCTTCCTCTGCTCCATGGCCCTGGGCAGGGGTGCGGGAAGGTAAGCAGAGGGCTCCCCCCTACACACACAAGTGCTGTGCGCCATGGGCACAGGCTTCCTTGTCTGGACCAAGTCCCCATGGACCATGTTGCAGGATGGGGGTGGGGGGGGGAAGGTCCTGCCAATGACCCTGGCAGACTTACTCCTAGGCAGGGACAAGGACTCCAGGGAGATTTCGGTCCTGGCTCAGCCAGCCCTCCAAGGGCTCTCAAGAGAAGTCGGATGCTCACCTCAGGTGTGCTATGATTGGGGCAGGGCACCTGGCACTGCTCAGCCACAGGCATGATGATGAGGTCTGACTTCTGTCCAGGTCTCTGCTGTTAGGGTGGGATTTCAGACACCTGTAGGAAGATGAGACATCAACAGCCAGGCCTAGTTAGTAGGCATCACTCTCATCCTTGGTTTCTAGGAGCCTGGGAGGGGCAGGTAATGGCTCTAGGGCTAAGGGCTGCCTTAGTCATAGAGTTTGTGGTCCCAGCTGCCACAGGTGCACCAACAGCCTTAGTATGGGTGTTTCTTTGTTCCAGCCACCACAGAACCAAGGGCCAGGTTTGCCACCCACTGACCCAACCTAGCCCCTGGGTCGTGGCCTCTGGCTGGCTGGAACCCTTCTGGGGCAGCACTTCCCTCCTCGGGCCTGTCTTCCTTACTGCAAACATCCGCCGTTCTCCCCAGACTGTAGTCATGGACAGGACGGCCTGTACGCACCTCAGATGCAGTGCTCTTGCTGCACTCTGGTTCCACAGCAGAGTGGGATGAGAAGCCTTGAAGGCTAAGGGACAGGAGGGCTCAGTCACTGTGCTGAATGAGCCTGGCCCTGCCTCCCCTTGGGCTGTGAGACCAGAGGGGCTGGTGATGGTAAGGACCTTCTTGGGCTCAGCAGGGCACAGTGGGCTTCCTGTGGGTGGCCTTCTGTGGGTGCCTTGAATCCAAACTCCCAGAGAACAGAGCTCAGGAAGGACCGGAGTCTCCAAGCCACAGAACATGAGAGGGACAGTTTCTGGGGACAACAGCCATGGGCCTAGTGGGAGTGGGGAGAGGGGGAGAATGTAGATTGAGTGGGCCCTAGGCAGCCAGAGTCTGCATAGGGATAGCTGAGGCCCTTGGGGCTTGCTAGTACTGGCCAAACCCCAGTTCAGGGTTTAAAATCGATCTGGTTTTTTGAGCCAGGACAATGTATTATAGTTCAGGCTGGCCTTGAATTTAATGTATTGACCAGGCTGCCTTCAAATTCAAAGCAGTCTTCCATCTCAGCCTCCAGAGTGCTGGGATTACTGACATGCCCTAACACAACCTGCGTTTAAGATTTTAAAAGACAAGGTCCAGCTGGACATGTGGTGCACACTGTAGTCCCAGCTACTTGGAAGGCTGAGGCACGAGGATCCCTTGAGCCCCTGTGGGTTTGAGATTACCCTGCACAACATAGTAAGGCCCCATCTTAAAAGTCAGGTCCCAAATGACTGGAGAGAGTTATGGAAACAGTTTGGGGAACACCCTCAGCCACACCATGAAAATGGAGGAAAAAGCAGGTGGCACAGGCTGGAGAAGTTTCCTGGAGACCCCGGACCAGAGGACTCGAGCAGAGGGCCAGCCTGGAGCCTTGGCAAGCTGAGAGAAAGCAGGCACTACGTCTACAGGTGCTTAGCTTCACAAGCTACACAAAGGTACAGGGAAGGAGTCCCTTGTCTGGCCTCAGTTTCCCCAACTACAGCAGAGGCAGCCATCTTTAACAAGCCTCCTGAGCCCACAGTTTGTGGCTGTTAAGAAAAGCAAAGCTGGGGAGAACAGGAAGCCAGGGAGAGACTCAGAGCTGGGTTGGACAGGAAAGTGCTTGCAGGAGAAGGGGCTGAAGTGGCTGGAAAACAGAGGTCAGCATGGCAAAAGAGTCAGAGGGACAGTTTGGACAGGATCTTGAATGTCAGGCTGAGGAACCCAACTTGGCAGCCAAGTGATAAGAGGAGGTCTGTCTGAATAGGACGAGAGAGACTGCAAACTTGGAGGCTAGGTCTTGCACAAAGGTGACAAGGACCTGGGGTTCTCTGCTGGGCAAGCTCACTCTCGGCTAAGCAGAGGAATGGAGGTTGAAGAATGGGTGAGGGAGTGGCCGCCCAGAAGCTGCCAGAGGAGGATGGAGAGGCGGCAGGGGAGGAGGCATGTCAGGAATGCGGGGTGCTGATGCTCCTCCCTGCGGAGCACAGGGAGCCTGGAAGGCAGCCCAGGCCGCCTCTGCCCTGTCACCCCACCTTGTCACTGAAACAGGGAGCCGGGCAGTGTGAATGCAGTTAGGGATTAAAGGAGATAAAGAAATGCAGCACCTTAACAGTTGGTGCCAAGACCAGTCCCAAGTGGTCACAGTAAAAATTGCTTATTCCACGCCTGGCACCAGTGTTCTTCAGGAACTAAGTGTTAATCACTGCTGCCAGTGGGCCCGGGATATAGCTCAGTGGCATAAGCGCCTGCCTGGCATGTGCAAGGACCTGAGTTCAATCCCCAGTTCCCGCAAAAAACCAAAAACAAACAAACAAAAAAAAATCACTGCTGCTGGGCATTCCTCGTGTCCCCATTCCCATATGAGGATACCCAGGCTGAGAGAGGGAGAGGAAGCTGTTAAAAAGTCACTGAGCCTAGGCCTGCCTGTCTGCTTTGGGAAGAACTGGGTGGCTGGAGTCTCATGCCTGTGGGAAGCCCTGAATGCTAGGCTTAGAGTGGAAGCCATCTGGGGACATCAGGAAGACTCCTTGGCTCAGAATCATGCCCTGCACCCCCTTCCTGCAGGGCAGACCCACCCACCTGAAGCCAAGATGTCCAGCAAGCGAGCCAAGGCCAAGACCACCAAGAAGCGGCCACAGCGAGCTACATCCAATGTCTTCGCCATGTTTGACCAGTCCCAGATCCAGGAGTTCAAGGAGGCCTTCAACATGATTGACCAGAACCGAGATGGCTTCATTGACAAGGAGGACCTGCATGACATGCTGGCCTCACTGGGTGAGTGGGGCTCATCAGTGGCAGTCTAGGGGCTAAGTAACTACCAGTGACTTTTCATATGGAGAAACGGGTCAGCAGCTAAATGAAAGTTTCAACTGCAGAAGTCCCACTATAGAAATAGCAAAACCAATGCCAGCTAAATAGCTCAGTGGACTAAAGTGCCTGCTTAGGCAAGTGCTAGAGGACTGGGGTTCGATCTCCATGCCAGGCTGGCCCCACCCCTAGGGCACACTGAATGAGAGTGAGCATGGTAGCACACCTATAATTGCAGCACTTGGAAGCTGAAAACAGGATCATTATGAGTCCGATCTGTGCAGTGAGACCCTGTAGACCCTGTACTAAATACTATTATATATCGCGAGAGCCTTGGGAGGTAGGCCAAAGCACCTCCTCTTTAACCCCAGGGATATCCCCAGAGGTGGGTTCTTAGAATTGAAAGGGCTAGGGCCGGCCAAATAGCTCAGCGGATTAAAGCATCTGCAAGCAGGCTCAGGGGCCAGGGGTTTGATCCCCAGGCCTGCCATGCTGGCCCTGCCCCTGGGGCGCGCTGAGATGGCAATTGAGACTGGACGTGGTGGCGTGCGCCTGTAATCCCAGCTCTTGGGAGGCTGTAAACAGGAGGATTACTACGAGTAGTAATGAGACCCTGAGCACCCTGTAGACCCTTCCCTAAAATACAAAAAAAAAAAAAAAATTGAAAGGGTTCAGGAATCAAGTCCAGCTTGGCACTGTTCAAATGGGCAACCTGAGGCCCATGGCCAAGGCTTCCAGACATCCCACCCCATGTGCTGGCTGTGTCCACCTCAGCCCCAGTTCCTGGCATGGCCTTCATCTGGCAGAGAGCAGTTGGACCAGGCCCTGGGGGGAGAAACAGCTGGTGGCATCAGAGGGGCTCCTGCTCTGCCCCCGCCTCATGTTCCCTAGGCAATAGGTGTCCACAGGAATCTGGCAGCAGAGCAGGTAGCCCTAAGCAGGATGGCTGATGACACCCACACTGGGTGCTGACCCTCTTCTGGCTTCAGGCCAGGCTCACCCATAGCCTCCCTCCGAGGTTGCTCAGCAGGAAGGGGTCACCCAGCAGGGCTCCCCTTTGGGGCTCTCCAGCTTCATAGAAGGGGAGGACTGAGTCAGGAAGAGGGGCTGGTCCTAACTGCCCTCCATCCCATCCTAATGAGGTCCTAGCTCTTCTGGGCCTCGGCTTTCTTGTCCATATCATGGGGGACACAGCAACATGAAGGCTCCTACCCATCTGCAAGGCAGCACCCCACACCCAGGGGCTCACACCCAAGACCTGGTGACAGCGCCAGATGTGTACCCAGAAGGATATGACCACGTAGCCCAGATCGGCCACAGCTCTTCAGTTAAAAACACCATCCTTGCCACCCAAAATAGCAAATAATCATTATTATCTTAAATCTGAAAGCACTCCTCTTGGGTGGAGTGGATATGATTACCATTCCTGCTTTGCAAATAAGGAAACTGAGGCTCAGAGGTTAAGTAATCTTTCCAAGGTCTCTTAAATGGTAGAGCCAGGATAGGAGGCAGTAGATGATTCCAGGGTCCAAGAGAAGTGCCAATGGTTGTTAGTGTTTCACAAACACTGTCTTGCTCATCTTCACAATTCTCCTGAGACACACAGGAAACAGGCAGAGAGCTGGGACTCAAATCCAGGCCTGTGTGCCACCAAAGCTCACTGCATCTGGAAGCTGGAGTCAGGCTGCCTGGGTTCGGGTGTCAGCTCTGCTGCCCAACTGCTGTGTGACCTGAAGGCTGCCTCGCCTCTCTGTACCTCCGTTGTATAGCTATGAAGTAGGTAGGACTGATTCCCTCACAGGGTGGTGACAGCACAATGCCATAGGACACCCGGGGCAGCAGACAGGACAGGGCTGGGAGTGCAGGAGCCACTGCCTGGCACCACACTTCAGAGTTCCCAGAACTCACCATCGACAGGGTCCAGGGTCAGGATCGCCCAGGCCATGGACAGCAGGGACCAATGCCCCTTGTGCTACCACAGGGAAGAATCCCACAGATGAGTACCTGGAGGGCATGATGAGCGAAGCCCCGGGGCCCATCAACTTCACCATGTTCCTCACCATGTTTGGGGAGAAGCTGAATGGCACAGACCCTGAGGACGTGATCCGCAACGCCTTCGCCTGCTTCGATGAGGAAGCTTCAGGTCAGCAAGGCCCTGGGTGGGGGACGAATGGGGACACAAAGAGGGCCCCTGCCCAGAGGCCAGAAGCCACCACTCTAGCTCCTAGTTCTGCTGCCAACCATTAAAGCCCAGCAGATTTCTGTTCTCTCCCAAAAAGCTAGAACAAAATGGCCCACATCCTCCAAGGCCCCCTACTTCCTTCACTCACCTGCTAGCCCAACACACCCTCCCTCTGCTTTAGAGCTTTGTGGAAATGAAACCACTTCATGCCTTTATTGCCAACAAGGTCTAGAAAACACCCCCACCCTGGATCATCCTTCTCTCTCACTTGAGTTTTTTCCCAGGGATAGGCAGGATAATAGGGACAACAGCGAGTGAGGCCTGGGTCCTGGGCCCACCACATTCAGAACATTTGCCTGACTACCATGAACAGCCCTGCGCAGTGGCAAGTTTTGATCCCCACTTTCCAGATGAGTAAACCCAAAGAGGTCAAGTACTTGCCCAAGGTCACACAGCTAGGAAGAATAAAGATCAACTCACCCAAACCAGCTAGAAGACCCAGCTGTGCTAAGCCCTCAGCCCACATTCCCAGAGAAACACCTTGCAGTCAGACTACCCCTGAACTCCCTCTGGGGCCCTGGTGACCCCCTCCTGAGCCCTCCCACCCATGTCCTCAGTCCATCTTACCAGGGTCCAGGGAGGTTGCTGCCTGGTCCCATCTCTAGCCATGAGACCTCCAAGGGATGACAGGGCAGAGGGGTAGGAGTACTCTGTGTGTCCCAGCCTAAGTCCCTGCTCTCAAGGTCCCCCATCCTACCCCTCAGGCTTTATCCATGAGGACCACCTACGGGAGCTGCTTACCACCATGGGTGACCGATTCACAGATGAGGAAGTAGACGAGATGTACCGGGAGGCACCCATCGACAAGAAAGGCAACTTCAACTATGTGGAGTTCACCCGCATCCTCAAACATGGCGCCAAGGATAAAGATGACTAGGCCTCCCAGCTCACAGTGCCTGGCCCCACCCCATCACTACTCCCCACGCACTTATCCTGACTAGCTCCATGTCCCTAAGACCCCACCACCCTCTCTGTGGATTCCCAGAGAAGGAAATGGGCCACGGGAAGCACAGGACCAGGCAGAGAGGGCACACAGGCATCGTGAGGCAGGTGCTCCACCATGACACAAGAGACCCAAGGGTGTTCCTGAGCCCCGCAGCAAAGGACCATTGTCTGAGGAGAGGAGCCAGAAGGCAGGAGGCACAGGAGAAGGTCCCTTGAGAGAGCCCAGGCATTGGTCATGGCCTGTCCACTCCTGGGATGACCACCAGCCCCAGGAAGAAGGGCCGCTGTACCCTGGTGTTGCACACACTACTCCATGCGCATCCCCGTATAAGCACATGCGCTCACCACTGCCCTGCTCAGAGCCAGGGCAGCAGTCCCCTCCCCATGCCATCAGCTCTCAGAGCACAGAGCACAGCACCCCATGCCACACCCAGGAGTGAGCTCCAGGAGGCTGGACAAAGGGACGTCATCCCCCGAGGGAGGTAAAGTCTTCAATAGAAGATTGAGCACTGCCTTGGGTCTGTGTGTCTGTGACTGGGATGATATCAGAGACCCTGGGCCCCAAACACCCACCTTCCAGCTCCAGTGGCTGTCCTAATCACCCCCCTTCCGGCCCCAGACATCCCCATTCTATATGGGCCTTGAAGCACAGGCTCTGATAGGGGGAGGGGACTAGGAGGAGCAGGGGTCAAGGTCAGCTCTACAGGTCACTAATGCTCTAGGAAAGCCAGGTGGTCCCTGAGGGAGGGAGGGAGGGAGGGAGGGAGGGAGGCTCTGAAGCAGTGATGAGCTGGGCATCTCACTAGCTCAGGGTCACCAGCTCCAGCTGTCCCCCTCACCCATCAGCTCTGGGCAGCCACAGTGGGAAGCCCGGGTGGGTGCTCAACAGGCAGGGCTGGCACCTCTGCTAGGTCTGAATTCAGGTCAGGGACATGGACAACACCAGCTGGAGCAAGAGTGACAGTAGTGGTTAGAAGGATTGCCTGAGCTGTCAGGGTATGGCAGAGAGGGGCTAAAAATGTCTCAGCTGACCCTGACGAGGTTGACCCGCTGATTTACCCAGCATAGTCCTGTGACTTCTGTAGGGGTCACTCAGAGCAAGAAGCCACAGCCCAAGGCCACCCCCAGAGAGTGCTGAGCAACAAGAGGGTGCCAGGCTCTGGCTGGGCCATGTGCAACTCTTACCTATCAGAATTGAACTCCACAAGTCCCTGGTCCCCTGGCCAGTCCAAGTCGGGGTCCAAATCATGCCCAGATATTCAGTACGAATACATTAGCCCTGCCTGCAGGACCCCGAGCTGCAACCTGGTCACCTGCACCACAGAGATGAGGTGCGCACTGACTGACCACAGCACCAACCTCAGAGTCCCCTTGGCAGAGCTGCTGTGGCACCCCGGGCTCTCTAGGAAGAAGATGTGCATTAGAGACAAGCCTCCCCAGGAAGTCCAAGCCATCTGCCATCCACTCTCCCCCATGACGGGGCTCACAACCAGGAGGGGAGGGGACAGGAACAGTCCAGCCTCAGGTCTCAGTCATTGGCTATAGCAGGTGGCCCAGCAGCAGAGGGTCCTGCTGTTATACAAGGAGGACTCCTGGGCACAAGGATGACAGGACTGTGCACTCAGGAGCTGGGGAAGAAGGCTTTTCATGCCATGAGCCCAAGTATCAACATCTTAGCAGTTTTTCAGAGGAAAAAAACTAAAAGAAGCTAATGGGCTCACCTCAGGCAACAGTTAGAGGTAACAGTGAGACACCCCCAGAACATTCCAAATCTGGCACAAACCCCAGAAGCAACAAAGAATGACATTTAAATGCATGAAATCTAAATACATCCTGTAGGGCTCAAGAAACAATAAAGTTAAAGCCACATGTGAATGGAGAAAACATAACCTGTGTGCAAGAAAAATGCCTTAAATGACATTAATGTGTGCACGGCTCCAGCAATTCAATAAGAAACAACTCGGCAGGAAATAATGGGAAGGGACTTGAGGAAATGCAACACTTACGCGCATGTTAAGGGCTTAGCAACTTTTCTGAGACCAGCTCTTGCTGTGGCCTTCAGGCAGTCTTTGGGTGGGCCTCACTCTACTGAGTGCTACAGTTATATGCACGTACCACCAAGCCTGGCAGCAAACATGTTTAGTGTTCAATGTCACTACAAATTTTTTAAGTTTTCTTTCCTAAGAGTTTTACAGTTTTGGGGGCCCAGGGAGATGGCTCAGTAGAATAAGTGCTTTCCTGGCAAGCACAAGGTCCTGAGTTCAATCCCCAGTTCCACAAAAAAAAGTTTTACAATTTTAATTATTGTACTTAACTTTCTGATTTTTTTTTTCCTTTAAATAGACTATGTAGTCCAGGCTGGCCTCAAACTCATGGTAACATGGCAATCCTGCCTCAGCCTCCCGGAGCGTGTGGTGTACGTGCTGCCAAAGCGACTGGGGTTACAGGTGTGCACCCCCACACACTCGGCTGGAGATTTTATTTTTTATTTTTATTTATTTTTTTGCAGAACCAGGGACTGAACTC